CTGTTGGATGTGGCTCCCTACCTAGAAATGTTTAGCCGCCACGGGCTGCCATAAAAGGAAAAGCAACACAAGGATGTTTAAGAGGCGGTTATATGCCAGAAATACAATAGTTTATTATTTTTTAATGTCACCCATTCTCTAGCTCACAGTGTTTTTTTTTGTACAGTAACAATAAACAACATATAGCATTTCTGAGCAAAAGATGACAAAAGAGATTATTGACTAATTTATTGACTATTTCATATTTGCACAAGCAAAGCTAGAATGAAAAAGAATGAACAGAAGAAGATTTGAGGCTTTATGCTGGACAGAGAGGGCCCTCTAGTGGTGTGTGTTCTGCTTCATATACTGGATTCACCGTTTCTTGTTGAGTTCTGCAAGAAAACGTGGAGTAAGATTTCTGTGAACTGTCCAAACTTAATTGAAAAATTAACATAATTTACCTTAATCTCACTGTATTTTTACCTACAACAAAATAAAAATATACATATATATTATATGCATAATACAACATATATGTCTCTTTGCAATTAATTGTTTGAAATTTGATACACTCTTTAAAACTTCACAGTATACTCACTACTACTGCAGTTGGAGCAACAAAATAAACAGCCACAAAACACTGAGATGACAACAGATGCCAAAAGAGCAAACAGAAAATAGACATAACCTGAGGAAAGATATAACAAATCTATAAAGAATTCATTTTATGCCAACATGTTTGCATTTAAAATCAGAAAATTGCCATGTTGTTTTTTCTAAAATGCTTTATGAATCTTTTTAAGATTCAAATTTTGTCCTTTCCCTCCCTTTTCTTTTCCCTTACATTTCTCCCATTTAAAAAAGTAATAATTGAATTTATTTATTTTTAATTTAACCATGGGGTTCAAACATGATTTGGAACAATGTTCCTCAAAGCCTCAATATTTTGAATGTAACAGAGTTGGTTTTGAAAGACATTTGTGTGTGCGTGTGGAAATGATTCAGAGTTAAATCAGTTATTGATTCAGATTATAAATAAATGAATGTGTTAAATAAATAACAGCATACTCTAATGGAGTTAAAATAGTGGCTTAGTGGTAGCAAAAATAAATATATAGGTATTGTTCGCTGAATATTTCTTATAAATGGTATCTAAAAAATTAACTAAAATATTTTTTAATTAAATTCCTCAAAAAAAAATAAAAAAAATAAATAAACACCCTTATTATTTCCTGCTATTATCACATGATGCTCTCATTGTACTCTATATCTGTGGCACAGAACTAAAAAGAGCAAACTCCTCACTTGCACAAATTAGTGGAAATGAAGACTTCCTTGTGCCATCAGCTCTGCAGGTGAACTCAGCAAAACCCATCAGCAAATATCCAGGTGGACACTGTACTCTACAGGCAGATCTAATGCCGTCATGTCCTTCACTGCAGTTCATCAATCGACCACCAAAAAAAAGAATGGGAAAACACTCCGCTACAACAGAAAAATGACAGCTTAATCTTCCATGCATATATTTACATTTTGTTGTAAACAGAATCATAACTTTGGTTCATTTACATTTGTTTGTCTGTTGAAATAATGTTTGCTCTGACCTGTTTCACTCTTTGGCTCAGAGAAACCTAGTTTACACAAACGGGTGAAGTTGTTGACTTGTTCTTTGCAGTCCTCTGGATGTTGTACTGAAAGAAAATGCATGGACTTACAAAATCATAATTTCTGTACTTATATGCATATATTTACATAATAAAAGACATTCTGATGTAAACACAGATTCATAACTTTGAAATACCTATTGCAGCTGCACATGAAGGTGGTGGTGTGTTCCATGCACCTGAGGAATTGCATTTGAGCTCAGCTGTACCATTCAGTTTATAACCACCAGCACAAGAAAATGTACAGTTTGAGTTGAAGGAATGATTCCCAAATAGACCAGAGCAATTCATCCTGCCATGTAGTGGTGCAGAGAGTGGATCACATGAAACGACTGGAGAGAAAAAAACATTACTGCATGATCTAGGAATATTTCAAAGGAGTAGTTCACCCAATAATGAAACTTTGCTGAAATTTTACTCATCCTTAGAACATAAGATGTAGATGAGTTTGTTTCTTCATCAGAGGATTGGAGAAATGTATGTTTTTATCAGGTAATTGAATTCTCTTTCTGACGGCACCCATTCACTGCAGAAGATCCATTGGTGAGCAAGTGATGTACTGTAATGATTAATTTCTCCAAAACTGTTCCGATGAAGAAACAACTCATCTACATCGTGGATAGCCTGTGGGTGAGCACATTTTCAGCAAATTTTCATTTTTTGGGTGAAATATTCCTTTAAGTAAAGGTTATCATAAAATTATACATGCAGGATTATATATCATTTTGTCAATTCAACATTGTTTTTTCCCTGCATCAGAACAGACCCTGGGTCGTGAGCCACCAGCTGAAAACCACCAATAAATTATAATATGTTTCACTTTCTCAGTATATATTACACTTTGCATTTGTTTATCTGTTGAAATAATGTTTGTTCTGACCTGTTTCACACTTTGGCCCAGAGAAACCTGGTTTACACACACAGGTAAAGCTGCTGACTTGCTCTTTGCAGTCCTCTCTATCAGTGCATGTATCATTTGGACAGTGTGCTGAAAGAAAATACCTAGATCAATTAAAAAAAAATCCTTTTTGGACTATAAAACACTCAGATTTTCTCTCTCAGAAACGTCTCTATTAGACTCATAAAGGTTATACATATAAAAATATGTGCTCTAACCGGAAATGAATCAACTAATTGAACAAGTAAGGCACCTTTCATCTCCAACTCCTTACCTTTTTGGCATAAAGGATACTTTGCCAATTGACAGTTGTCATCGTTCCACTTTCCATTATTGTTTGTTTTGCTGGTGTACAATTCCACACAGTTTTCATTAGACTTGTTGTTGTTGGGCTCATTGGTTGCCCAGTTTTGATATTTCATGATTTGTCCATTGGCAACCCACGTCCAAGTGCCATTGATCTTTTGCATTCCAATCCAGTAGTAGGGAGATTTAGTTCTGTTTTTCACATTTTCTTTAAGGAAACGTGTTACATTTTCGTTGTGGACCATCACAATGTCTGTGTAATGATTTTGACACCACTTTCTTGTCTCATTCCAGGACATTGTCTTGTTGTCTATCCAGTAATATGTCCATCCTTCAACACTGACTAAAATGTTGTCCATCAAAAGTTCAAGTTAAATTTATTTCTCACATTTATTTTATTCTGGAAGGAAGATGAATGTAGAATTCACTTACCCAATATGAAGCAGAGATGTATCAAAATTCCTATGTGCACAGATGTCGTTTTAAGCACCACAACACCTCCAGCCTGAACAATAAAAACAGCCACTTAATTGCTAGTATAAATAGATAGTACTTTTTAAAGGCTTGTATTGAACCAAAAAGGTTCAAATTAAATGCAAATTTCATAATAGATGCATACCATGGTTCTCTTTAGTCTCCTTTCGACAGAGGCACTTGTTGTTAGTAGAATATTGTACATCGCAGCTCTAGTTGCATTTCAACAGTCCGTTCTCACATATGCTCTGATAACTGTGGGCACCCACCATATATATATAAGTCATTAGCATTAAATCGCAGGATGTTTTCTCACAGGTTCAAAAGAATAAGCATTATGTAACAACCTGGGAAAGAATGCCACTTTTTGGAAATTGCTTATCTTTTATATGGTCTTTTATCTTTTCGTAAAATTCTGTCTTGCACAAATAGAATGGTGCTGAGTTGCATATAATGATTACATGATCACTTTAACCTCTGAAAGGTATTTCTGTAAAAGCTAACATACACTCCCTGATTATACGCAGCTTCAGGGAAAGACACAGTCACAGGATACATCCAGATGAACATGACCTAGGTCATTTAAACAAAACCTTTCACTGCATTCACAATGCTAATGGCTGTATGCACTTAAAGGTGATGAAAGATAAACAAAGAGACTTCATTCCCAGACTTAATTTAGGTGTTAAGATTCAAATATTCGGCTGATCATCCTACAAATGGAACGATCAATCACACTTACTATTTATTTTTTATACATTGGTGTTGAAAAATGATACATTTATGCTTTGGAAGATTTAGGCATTCAGCTGAAAGTGGAAAATGCATTGAAACACCCATGACATCATGAAAGTCAAACTTTGTTCACATTTACAAATAGATTAAAGGCGTAGTTTTCCCAAAAATGAACATTTCCAGACATTCATTTTCATTTACTCATCCCCAGGCCATTCAAGATGTAGATGTCTTTCTTTCTTCAGCCTAAGAGAAATGTCAAGAGATGCTGGTTAACTTATATGTTATTTTATCTTGTCAAATCATCACTTGCACAAAGAGAATGGTGCTGAGATGCATATAATGATTAGATGACTATGATTGAATGATTAGAAGACTAAACTCATCATAAAAAAGAAATCAAATAATTAAATGTGGGTAATTTATGGCAAGGATCATTCAGACGACACTGACCTCTGAAAGGTATTTCTGAAAAAGCGAACTCTCTAAAATATAAAACAAACACTTGATGATTATATACAGCTTGAAGGAAAGTCCGTCACAGGATATGTCCAGATGAACATGACCTGGACTTGGTTATTTGAACAAAACCTTTCACTGCAATAACTGTACTTACAGTGTACAGTGACCTCAATTCTAGCCTTTATTTAGGTGTTAAGATTCAAATATACTGCTGATAATTTAGATGGAATGATCAATCACATAAATGTGTATTCATGTTTTGATTTTGAAAAATGCTAAATGTTTTTTCGTAAAGTTGTAGAGAGTCACACTTCACACTTTATTGGTTTACATGTACAAATAGTTTAATAGGACCAATACAGTTTTGGAACAATAAATAGTACAAAAAGATGTGTATATTAATAGCATAAAAACGAGTACATTTATACAGTACAGAACAATATGTTCAGTCAAGTAAATCATAAAAGCTTCCATTGGGAAGTAAAAATCACATTCAGTTAGGACTGTTGCCTAGTAACTGATAATGCCAAAAATATCCAAGTGCCTTAAATCATTTGTGATGACATAAATGTTTATGTCCAGTGAGGCAGTTGTGAATCCCGTGAAGAAGAATTTAGTTTTTCAATGAATTGTTCACTGGAATAAGTTACATCGCTATCTTTACACATACTGGCCTGTATATGTGCATGAGGAATATATGCTCACCGGATATGCTGTATGCTATTTGATGCTATTTTGCTCTATATGAGACTGTCAACACTGTTCTTATAAAACTGTGGTGGATCCTCAATATCCAAGGTACTAAAAATGAAACAGACAAAAGCAGATATAGTCCTGTATGTACCAAAAGTGATAAATAATGACAGTAATGATACAAGAAAAATATAACTGCAAAAAAAGAGACATATCTCACCTGTTCAGGTCAAAATTGTTAGCTGGAAACAAAAAGACATAATTTTCAGTATATTATTAAAGAATTAGAACATGTTCACAAACTCAGTAGACTGTTTGACTCACCTTTTCTCCTCAGTCTCTTCAGTATCCAGAGGACTAAGCCCAGACCGGAGACACTGATAGCACCTGAAACACCAAGAGTCACTTCTGTTGCTTTGAAGAGCGATGCAAGAGCTGAAAATACAAATAAAATGAAATAAGCCATAGAACAGGGGTGGCAAATGTCGGTCCTGGAGAGCCGCAGCTCTGCAGAGTTTTGCTTCAACCCTAATCAAACACACCTGAACAAGCTAATCAAGGTCTGAATGGTTACTAGGAAGCTACAGGCAGGTGAGTTTTAATTAGGGTTGGAGCTGAACTCTGCAGGGCTGCGGCTCTCCAGGACCGGAGTTCGCCACCCCTACACTAGAATGTCTTTCTCACTTCATCAACCAAATGGCTTATCTGCATCCCAGTCATTATCAGCTGTTTACCTTGACACACCGCCACTTCCCCTGACCAGCTCCCATTGAAGTTGCACATCACTATCTCGTTACTGTGGTCTTCAAGTTGGTGGCCTTCATAACAGCTGAAGATGCAGAAGGTGCCAAAGGTGGGTTCTTCAGATGAACAGTTCATATGCCCGTTGATCGGCTCAGAAAGCTGTGGGCAGAGCACTGCTACAGAGTTGAAAAAGTGTTTAGTATGATAAAATTCACTTGGGCTAACTTTTTTTTTGAAATGCAATAAATTAACCTGTAAATTCATAAATTAGGAAAAAGTTTATTGATTACCTTCACAGCGAGGTGGTTCCTGACTCCACTTTGCTGCTTTTGTACAGCTGATTTCTGAAGCTCCCTGGAGGTGGAATCCTTCAGCACAACTGAAGCTGCATTTGCTCCCATATTTAAAGCTGGAAGTGCAGCTCAGCTCTCCATTGACATGACTGTCAAGGGCTGGGCAGTGAATAACTGTGAGGAAAGGGGGAAATGTATTAAAGGATCAGACAGTTTTCATGAGAGTTTTTTCAAAGGAGCGATTGCAAAATATTCATCAGATGTATTTTTGTTTGCATAATATAGATGCTACTCACGTTCACAGGTTGGTGGTTTGCTTGACCACTCTGTCGTAGAAGTGCATCTTGTCGTACTGGAACCCTTTAGTTCATAACCTTCTTCACAGGAATATTCACACTGAGAGTCATATGAGTAATTTTCATGAGGATGAGAGCAGTGGATAATAGCATGATCTGGTGAGGTGACGTCCTCTGGTTTGCATTTTATTACTGAAAATCAGAAAAAGAGGATCATCATTAAACTCCATGAGCAGAGATGTTAAAGAGCAAAGAGCAGAACTACTGCTGAACTATTGTAATAAAAGTTTTTCTAAGTAAATTTAAACCCGTCTTACTTTCACAAGTGGGTTGTGAATCATTCCAGCGTCCCGTTGCCCCACAGAACAGTGTAGAGGAGCTGAAGTCTCGCAGTGTGTATCCTTCTTCACACATAAACTCACAGGTGGATTGATAGCTGAAGATGCCTATTGAATGGAGACACTGCATTTGGCCCTTCTGTGGTTTGATCAGCTCTGGACATTGAACAACTGCAAAAAGATGTCAAAGTGTTTTAAAAAGCATCTGATCAAATGTGTCATTTTTATTTTACAGTGTAAATTCTACTCACGTTCACAGGTTGGTGGTTTGCTTGACCACTCTGTGGTAGAAGTGCATCTTGTCGTTCTGGAACCCTTTAGTTCATAACCCTCCTCACAAAAATATTCACACTGAGAGTCATATGAGAAATTTTCATGAGGATGAGAGCAGAGAACACTAGCATGATCTGGTGAGGTGACGTCCTCTGGTTTGCATTTTATAACTGAAAATCAGAAAAAGAGAATCATCATTAAACTCCAAAAGCAGAGATATTGTATAACTATTGTAATAAAAAAATGTTCTAAGTAAATTTAAACCTGTCTTACTTTCACAAGTGGGTTGTGAATGATTCCAGCGTCCCGTTGCCCCACAGAACAGTGTAGAGGAGCTGGAGTCTTTCAGCGTGTATCCTTCTTCACACATAAACTCACAGGTGGATTGATAGCTGAACCGGCCAATAGGATGTTGGCAGTGCATTTTGCCATCCTGTGGACTGATCAGCTCTGGACATTGAACAACTGCAAAAAGATTCATAGACATGTCAAAGGAAAGTGTAAATAATTTAAGCAGGTTTGAACAGCGTCTGTAAATGTTCCTCAGTGTAAATTCAACTCACGTTCACAGGTTGGTGGTTTGCTTGACCACTCTGTGGTAGAAGTGCATCTTGTCGTACTGGAACCCTTTAGTTCATAACCTTCTTCACAGGAATATTCACACTGAGAGTCATATGAGTAATTTTCATGAGGATGAGAGCAGTGGATAATAGCATGATCTGGTGAGGTGACGTCCTCTGGTTTGCATTTTATTACTGAAAATCAGAAAAAGAGGATCATCATTAAACTCCATGAGCAGAGATGTTAAAGAGCAAAGAGCAGAACTACTACTGAACTATTGTAATAGAAGTTTTAAGTTAATTTAGGCCCGTCTTACTTTCACAAGTGGGTTGTGAATCATTCCAGCGTCCCGTTGCCCCACAGAACAGTGTAGAGGAGCTGAAGTCTCGCAGTGTGTATCCTTCTTCACACATAAACTCACAGGTGGATTGATAGCTGAAGATGCCTATTGAATGGAGACACTGCATTTGGCCCTTCTGTGGTTTGATCAGCTCTGGACATTGAACAACTGCAAAAAGATGTCAAAGTGTTTTAAAAAGCATCTGATCAAATG